TGTAATTTTCTTTTTTACCCTTGTAATTTGTCTATTTTTTGGTATTTTGTGATTGATTCTTGATGTTTTTCTATTTCAGCTTAGTGTATGTAGGCCCTATTTTATATTAAGGCCTATATATAAAAAAGATATGTTTTTTATCATAATTTTGCATTAAATTAAATAATAATTAACTTAAAGTAATTAATGTTAAACATGTATTGGTGAACCGTTTGATGTTGAAATAAGCGCCGCTCTCGAATAAGCGCCGCACCAAGCCTGATTTGTTTAGATAAGTAAGCCCCGCTATCGAATTTGTACCGCTTAATCGATACCGTAGTTTATTTGTACCGCTTAATCGATACCGTAGTTTATTTGTACCGCTTAATCAATAGTTTATAATTACCCTGTGTGTAACTTGAAACACTTTGAGAAACAGAGTTTTAAATACAATGCATACGGTGTTAAAATGAATGAATAACACAATTAAGACAAACATTTCTCTATAAATTTATTTACGATCACGTAGGACCTACGTGAGATATGTAACATGGGAACCGAACGGGTATTTTTTATAAGCTCCCGACCGCTCTCAAATAAACGCCACTCTGTTGTCTAGAGTCATGTATACCCATCCACAACCACAAACCCTGTATTTATTATCATCACCATTTATGATTTATCATCTTCATTATAACAGGTTGAGATGGTGATGGAATTGGTTAACCATTTGCTGTTTAATTATAGTTTTACAATAAATTAAATAATAGTTAACTTACTTAAATATATAATTGTAATTTTCTTTTTTTATTTTCTCTCGAATAAGCGCCGCACTGAAGCCTCCAGAAATTTTATAAGCGTCGTGGCGCTATAATATTAGAACATTCACGGTAATTATAGTTTTGCAATAAATTAAATAATTAACTTAATTAAATAAATTATTTTAATTGTCCTCTTTACCTTTGGATTTTTTTTGTGACTGATTCTTATGTTTGTATAGGCCTTATTTCTACTTTGTATAGGCATATGTATTTTATAGGCCTATATTTTAAAAAATGCATGTAAATCCAACTCCAGAAAGAAAGTTGCAATAAAGATGATTTGATTTGATTTGATGGATGTTGGACATCTAGGTGTGAGGGATTTTTCTACTTTCAACTACCGTAGCTTACAATAGGAAAATCCTGTAGAGTATCATGTGTGACGAAACTAAATGTAGAGAAGTCGGTAGAATAGTTTTACAAGACACCCTGTTTAAACAGGGCTCGATTTTAACTTTCTTTGGTGACCATCCCACTGGGATACTTTACTGTATATCACTAGCTCATTGGCTAGTGAAATAGCCCAATCATTGGCACTTTTTACTCTTTCTTTCTTTCTTTCCCTATTCAGGGAATTTATTCAAGTACATGGGCCGTTGGCCCTAATACTAAACATAATTTATTGTAACATAATACATTTTTTTCTTTTTTCAAACGCAAAGTAGACGTATTTTGCTAAATTATTAATATATTTTGTATTTGAAAATAATAGACAGAGCTTGTGAATAGATGCATATAAGTAAATACATATTGGAATATATTTGCTCCTTAAATCAGCATAATATGGGCATTGTAAAATAAAGTGAAATCCATCTTCAATAATATTGTTATTACATATCTTGCAGATTCTTTTGTCTCTATCATGCTACTACTCAGTAGCATTATGTTATTGGCCAAGCATACTTGAAGCAACTATAATTGATCACTGGCCCACCGGGCTAGAAGGTAGGTTTACTGGCCCAGAGATGTTTTTTCACACACATTGTACGACGGACTAGTACTAAGTCGACCCCTGTTAAAGATTATGTTTATTTCATTCAATTTCCGGGTAAATGATCAATTAAATCACAGATTGAAATGGCTAAGCGCTAACTTATCCCGAGGATTGCCACAGTCCATGACTCAGTGGTTCTCTCCAATACTGAGGCCTATGCCAAACGAAAACATCAGAAACACATCGAAATACTAATGAAGATCTAGTGAAAAATATTCTTAAAAAAGCAAATTCATAATTTTCAGAAAATTTCCTGCCGCGCCAGAAATGCTCAGGCATGTTCTGCGAGATCTGGCATATAATATGATATATTTCGTTAATCTCATGTTTTTGTGCTATTTTGTTGTTAGTACTAGAAGATCGACTTAAAAATTTCCGCATAAAGCGAGCAGAAACAAACATAGGTGAGGGAGGCGGGTCCGAGGGCCTATCCCAGAAAAACATAGTAACAAAATTTACAACAGACTAATTGTTCTATCATAAACAGTTATAATAAAGTAAATGAACAAAAAGATCGTTTTTCAAACAAGTTCGAAAGAGGGAAGCAATGAAAGAACACATATCAAAATACTGTACTTATACATAGCAATATGAAACTAATAATATACAGTAGGTTAATTGAGAAACTGACATGAAAATGGAAATCGGCTTGTACAGCGCCTTATCACAATTAGAAACTAGTCAAAGCGCTTCAAGATTTAAAAAATAGAAAATAAGAAAACTAACCAATGAACTATTCTAAAACCACCAATTAACAATTTACTAGAGAATCACATTAAGAACGAACCAGTACATCACTGCACTGTTCTCCAACAATTTGAGATACGTGGCTGCTGGAACAGTACTCACAGGTGCTCTAGAAATCCTAGTGACTAATTTAACCTATCCTGTAGGAAGAAAAAACGGGAGGGAAAAAAACCAAACAAAACAAAAAACAAAGTGAACGAATAAATTAGAGACTGAAAAAGATGTGTTTTTAGTTGTGACTTGAAAATAGATACAGTATATGACGGAGCTTCACGGACTTAAGAAGGCAGATTGTTCCACTTTGGGAGCAAAAATCGAGAATGCTCTGTCACCAACGTCTTGTTGAAGCGTGATGGAGGAACAAATAAAATGTATATGTTGCAAATGAACGATTCAGAGATGTAGCATGGTGACATAATAAAAATAGTAAAATGAAGTTCCACCAGTAAAATGCAATGTAATATGAGTATGTATGTGTGTATATCGGCCAATATAATAACGCAATTAAACGAGTTGCGCTTAAAACAATCAAATAAAATCATGTACAGTGTAATTGTAAAGTACAGGAAAAGTGAGAAATCGTAAGATGCTTCTTGAAGTTGGTATACAGCAACATTGATAATTGTCGTTTTTGATTTTGAAGGTGTGCGTACAGTAATAGTTTTGTATACAATAGGAGTATGCCTATCACTCTCGACAGAAGAAAATGACATAGATTTGACGGTGGGTGACATAGAACCTATAAACAGGATGTACGTCAGTGTACCTGTGTTCATCAAGATGTGGTTTTCATACTACGTCATCAACAAATTAACGCTTACGCTTGCCAGCATAATCAAAACGCAAGTGTACAATGCTTCCCACTCGAAAACTATTAATAATATATGGAAATCTCAAGACGAGCTAATCTGATTAACTGGAACACATTTAAAACGAGTAACTTCACATTTTTATATGTTTGATCGATTAACTGTTGAAAATCTGATGTTTTTTTTTCTGTGGGTAATGTAATCGAACTCGTTTTTGATGAGTCCTTCGATTCCATCATTATTGTCGCGTGAAGGAGTGGAAAGTGTATCCTGTGGACACGAACTAAAATGTTTGTAAAAATTAAAGCTGTTATAAATATACCAATTATACATTTAAATTGATGAGATATCAAATATCAACACAGAGTCGAGACTGAAAATAGATTGAAAACAAGGAAACCTCCAAATAGCTGCTCGGAAAATGCGTTTTCCGAGGGTAACCGGTATAGGCCCTATTTGGTGGCGTCATCATTGAACAGGTTTAAATTTTCGTTGTCACTACCACTATGACAGTTGTCAAACTATATACAGTGCAGTTATTAAGCCATATTATAATTATAAATAATTAACGTGAATCCAATCCGATGTCCGTCTAATGTTGATTAATGTTCTTGTTTGTAGGTTTTCTAGTAACATCGACGGCATTTCATTTGAAGTCTCCATGGTTACAAAATAAATATTCTTGGATTGTGATAAATTGGATGATTCGTTTTTAGAAATAAAACGTCGATGTTGTTCAAAGTTTAATGTACTGTACAGTACACGAAAACATAAATGCTATGGAAAACGATGGTTGAATTATTATTAATCATTGAACATGTGTTTTAGATTTGTTATTTTTTATCTTGCAAAACTTTCTACCAAATCGCTGCAAACTTATATGTATAAACTGTTGAAGATATATAATATAATTTTTCGTGATTAGAGCAAACAGCTTCTATCTTTAATTAGATTAATTGTGCTGTCTTATGAAACAAGGAAAAAAGTATTGCATAATGGGAGCTACACAGTCGAAGGCCATTCAATCCCAGAGGTGCCATATGTGAATTACACTGTACTGAATTGTTAGTTCATTAAATGCCAGTTTTACAGTATGTGTATTATATTGGTCAGTCAATGTGTATTACATTGTCGTGAATGGTCAGTCAATATTTAAAACCAGTTGATGAGTACGGGAATTAATTCTACTGACTGATCATAAGCACCTTCAACGCCAGTTGTATAGTATGGGAGTTACAGTGTCCAGGCTGGTCAGTCAAACCTCATTTAACACCAGTTGTATAGTATGCGAGTTACCTTGTCCACTGGTCAGTCAAACACCACTTAACACCAGTTGTATAGTATGCAAGTTACCTTGTCCACTGGTCAGTCAAACATCATTTAACACCAGTTGTATAGTATGCGAGTTACCTTGTCCACTGATCGGTCAAACATCATTTAACACCAGTTGTATAGTATGAGTTACCTTGTCCACTGGTCAAACATCATTTAACACCAGTTGTATAGTATGTGAGTTACATTGTCCACTGGTCAGTTGTATAGTATGCCAGTTACACTGTCCAGACTGGCCAAATCCCATTCAATGGCACTTATATCTCGATTATCCATGAGGACAGCATACAATAAATAAAGCATAGCATTAAGAAACAAGAAATAATTCAATAACTTTTAATACAGCATCACAATTCTTTCAATCTATTCGATGCCCATTGGATTTAATGATACAGTAAATCATTAAAAAATACTAATTTGTTTTTCTCTAACATTCTTAGGCATTTCAAAAAAAGTGTCACAGAATAGACATATGGCACATCAATATAACTGAGTTGCAATATACTTAAACATACATGTACAGTACACACGAACATGGACCTCTTCTCACATGTATATATGTATTCATTTGAGCAAATGAGCATGTATTCCTGTGTGTGCACGCATACATGTGCATGCATAAGTACATGAGCCAGTACCATCATGTCTATGAACACAAATGAGCATACAACCATTCTAGTATGCTCTCTCATGTTCATAAATAAAAAAATAAAAAATCACATACTTTGTCATGCATGTACACATACACTGTAATTATATGTGACTTACTAGCGTTTCATGCCAACAAGGCCTCTAGGCGCTTCACATTATTACCCCTGGTCAATGGATCAAACCCATATGGAACATATGCTCAGCTCCCTGGGGAGAATTCCACCATGTTGCAGCTGTAATCAGCACATTTTGTGCCTACCAGGTAGCCACTTGTCCTCCTGGTTGGTCAGAGACAACTGAGTGCCTTGCCCAAGGACACAAGCCAAATGAACAGTGAGGGATTGGACCTCCAACTTTAAGGTTGCAAAGGAGAAGCACAATTGCTATGGCAACTGCTCTTTTAGTGCACACAAGCACCCTCATTAATGCATCACATGTGCATACTATTTTACAGTACACTATGCAAACCACAATTACCACTCTTTAATATATTATATATATATTTTTTTATGTTTTTAAAATGTTAGAAAACTTGATCTTTATAAATAGCTCACTTTAACACTAAAACAAAAAAAGCTGTACACACCAAAATGTTACGAGGGGGGGGGGGACTGTACACACTGAAATGTTACAAGGGGTGAGACAGTCATACATTATTATTAAAATAATGTAGTAAAAATAGTTTTGTGATGTGCCAGATAATACTAAGTGTATAATAAAACTTGGGGTTTATTCAAAAATGTATCCCATCAAAATTGTTCTTTTACATTCTAAATTTCTCTAAAATAACTTTGGTAAACATTTTTGGAAGACCCTTCAAAATCATAATCAACAGAAATTAAAATGACATGTTGTTGTGATAAATAACTACTCTCAATATATTATTTAAGCATATGATATCTATAACACAGTGTTGTTTATAACTTGATTTACAATTAAACAGATAAAAGTTTTAAAACATGTACATGCAAGATGCGGGCTGACATCAGGAATTGGTTTACAAGTCCCACTCAGACATACAAGAAGTTATTTTAATTATATGCCATTCAAAATGAAAATAACCATTTTAAATATAGCTCAGAGTAATTTAGATAAAGCATCCTAACAAGAATTAGACATCTCATGTATACTGTTTAAGTTAGAATAGTGAAAAACAACCACAGCAGTGAACTCACTTGTAACCAAGTACAAGTAGTGAACTGATTATCGCTGCTATTGACCTCCAAGTTAAGTAGAGCCTGAAAATAAACTCTCACAATAAAAAATAAAAAAAGTAACTGAGGCAACAAATATTAATAGTACTGTTATCTCAGTAATACAGAGCCCCTATTTCTTTAGGATAATAGTTAGTTAATTATTATTATTATTATTATTGTTCTTAAAATTATGGAAAACCTTCAGCTGCAAGATAAAATTTGTATTACTGTACTAACCATACCTAAGTATAATGATAACTTTTTGCAGTAATTACCAGTGTTAATTAAAAAAAATGATGTAAAAATTAAGAATTATAATTATAATTTTCGTCATTAAAAATTGTCTTAAAGTAACAATATAAAATATATATAATAAAAAACTAACTATACTGAAATAATAATAGAGTTATGTAAAATGGTTCAAAACATGTTAAACAGCAGCATTTGTAGGCAATAATTCAGCACTTTATCGTTCTTGATCTCTAATACTTTACTTTCGAGTTCAACACATTTCAGGACATCTAATACTCTATTGTCACCGTCTTTGTCCGCAGATATTCATGGAGAGCTTCTTCACCTAAAGAAAAATAAATAATAAAAAATGATTATGTAAGATATTATATAAGTAATAAAAACACAGATTCACAAATATTAATGACAGGAAATAGATACAAAATAAGAAAAAATCCTAGGATTTGTAAGGTTTGAATCCAAGGTATAAGACTGCAAAATAATCAGTAAGTTACAGCAAATTTGTTGTTTAACGTAGAAATACTAAATTCTACAATATCAGTTATTAAACCTACTGATTACAAATGAAGCAGATAATTTCTAGTTTGTGAACTCTCTGCTCACTTAAATCTAACAGATTACAAATGAAGTGGTTGATTTCTGGTTTGTTCCCTTTCTCTCTGTTCACTTGACGTTTCCTCTTAATTTAACATTTTGGAAAATTCACTTGTATTAGAGCATGTACACCCGTTAACAAATCAGCGATGAAAGTAGGATGAAAATACATCAACTACAATCATTGTAACTGGCAGGTTTTAAAGATTAATCAAGTAAGTTGGGTAAAATACGCACAAACATGACAGTGAAAACACATAGAGCATCCTAGAAAGCAAGCAATGTGCTGGGAATAGACAACAGTTGATATAAAGTGTCACCCACAACTGATGTAGCACAGTCAAATTAGTTCTTCATCTTCCAATCAAATATATGAATTTAGGCTATGTATCTGAGTACCTTGCTTTGATATTTTTAATCATATTAAAATTAAATTTTACAAGATATTTTATAGAGAGTGAACAATTAGCAGGCAAACCTATATTATGACAAACATCCCCCTTTCAAATTACTTTATTTGCTGCAATGCTGTTACTTATACTACTTTTCCCCTTGGTATGTATGCAAAGAACTTACCGAGATCCTTGCCAAATCCAGACTGTTTGAAACCTCCGAATGGTGCAGCAACTGTCTCTTATTTGATGAAATTAAACCTGTCTCTTATACACATCTAGATGTGTATAAGAGACAGGCTAATAAGTGCAGCCCTAGGCACTGGGGGAGGGGGTAGTCAGTTACCAAGGCCCAAATGACAGGTTCTGACAACTGCCATGGGACCCACATCTAATTTAGACATTTACAGTAGTCATCTAAAATGAATGACTTTCTCTTCAAATTCAATTTCTGTTTTACCCTTGTGGCCTGGGCCCCGCCTGCACCCTGCTAACAGCTATTGTGTATTGAAGTGGTGTAAAATTTGGTTAATTATGAAGTCTGTCTCTTATACACATCTTCATAATACATCACCATGGCAATGATGACACATCTCTACTGATGAGGAGGAATAATGAATTAACTTTACTATGGATGATGCAAACTGAAAAGCCAACTATAATTTACTAATGATGCAATACCTGACCCTTCTTTTACTATATATAAAATCATAAGCAAGAAATGTAGAACAAGAAATGAGGCCAAGTCACCTGAAGATATATTTACAATACAGGTCAATTGTTATATAGTCAACATATTTCTGAATCTAAAGTGGCTAGCTAATTATATGAGTTACGAGAAATTTGTTACTGCTGCAAAAATGTTCACTGTTTACTAGAGCATCAACTTTGTTATCGTAATAACATTATAATGTTCCACAATTGTTACCATTATTATTTTTTTGTTAGTATTATCTTTTAAGTAGCTCCTCTTCCCCTCCTTTCCTTGATGCCAGTGTAAAATTATCAGTAACAAACCTTGCATATCTGCCTGCTTTCCCCCATACACCAAAGTGGCCCCCTCCTTGATGCCGATCTCACAATATTCAACAAGTTTCTCAAGGTGAGCTCGATGGTTTTGTGGACCATGACTCGTGGAACGATCGAGAGGATGACCAATCTTCATCTTCTTCACCTCTTCTACCTATTGAGCAATCCAAATAATGTTTTTCATGATAAAAATAATGCATAATAATAACTACATATGTAAAGTACAATTAACCAAAAAAATATACTAATCTGTATATTTTTTTTATAAGACTTTAAACAACTGCTCTCATTGTTCTTATGATGGCACTCTAATTATCAGCTCTGTTAAAATTACTGTTCTCTTAAACCATAATACACAAAGTACAATTAAAAAAAAACACTGATTATTCTTGATCTGACTTTAATAATAATAATAACAATAATAATAATAACAATAACAATAATAACAACAATAACAATAATAATAATAATAATACTGTAATAAGATTTGTATAGAGCTCCTATCCATTTTAAAGAAATGCTTAATGTGCTTAAAAAAATATAACCAGCGGAAAAAGAAAAATTAAGAAAACTATGCCAGTAAATATCTTTTTACAACTGCTTTCATCGTTCTTGTTCCCTTGTAAGTTAAAATAAAAACGACACAAAAGGATTTTAAAACTTACAACTCTTTTGATGTATTCATCATGGATGGTGTCTTCTATAAAAAGTCTTCCAGCAGCGATGCAATTCTCTCCCTTGTTGAAGAACACAGCACCACATCCTTGCCGCACAGCACGATCCAGATCGCAATCAGAGAACACAATCAAAGGAGATTTACCACCAAGTTCAAGAGAAACTTTCTTCAAGTTACTCTCAGCACAACTGAAGATTTAAAAAAAAATGTATATCTTATTGGTATTGAGAAATTATTATAAATAATCTTCCATATAAAAATAAAATCCATAAATTGATACGTCACTATGGCAACATCTACCTATTATAACACTCATTAGAAAAGCTAAGTATATCTTTTTTTTTAATTTAAGTACTCGCTCTTAGTAAAATGAAAATCCATAATGCTGATGACAAGACAAGAAAACACTAAATAATTTACCAAGCCACATCCACAAATTCCCTCTTCCACTTTCAAATAAATACTGTATTTTCACTCTCATGAAAATTATTCAGATAATAATTTGTGCGTACCTTTTCATGATCTGTTTGCCAATTGGAGTAGATCCAGTAAAACCTAATTTGCGGATATCTGGGTGATCTGTCAAAGCCTGACCAACAACAGAACCTAAAAATATAATGGCAACACTAGTAGTAGCAGATGAAGAAGACCAACAACACAACCCAAAACATAATTCAAATACATAATTAATAGTAATATTAATAAGATTGTAGCAGCTGAATTGTTCTCAATCACATGTTTTACAGTAACAACACATTTCAGATGAACTGTATAGACATGATGAGTTTAATGTTCCTCCTATCCCAACCACCTGTAGTTCTTACTTCAACTACCGTAGCCTCAAAAGAGGTAACAGAAATCGCCTAGTGTTTTTAGACACTATCAGTATGCATAGAATACTGTAGACACTTTCACAGAACATTGCACTACGCAACATACCATCTACGTCACTAAATCAATCAACAAAATAAAACATTATTTATTATAACTAACCTGATATTTGACACCTTATTATTATAAGTGGCTGTGAACAGCTATCATTGCCACATTCTATTTTTACCTTGAACTGAACTTTGAGACAACCATGATAGGCCCAAATGATTCTTCTTGTGCCATCATCATATCATCAGTTACATCCGTAAATATAGTTGGTTCCATGAACAAACCTATAATAGAAAAATAAACTATATAACAGCAATAATAATTATATAAATATATTAGTATTATTTATTATGTAAAATAATACTTACAGATATTTAAAATTAAGAACAAAAAAAGGAAAAACCCATCACATGAAATTTATTTTGTAATTGACTGTCCATTCATCAAAGTCAAATTTTCTCATTACCATGGTAATCATAATACATCACCATGGCAATGATGACACATCTCTACTGATGAGGAGGAATAATGAATTAACTTTACTATGGATGATGCAAACTGAAAAGCCAACTATAATTTACTAATGATGCAATACCTGACCCATTCTTTTATTATATATAAAATCATAAGCAAGAAATGTAGAACAAGAAATGAGGCCAAGTCACCTGAAGATATATTTACAATACAGGTCAATTGTTATATAGTCAACATGTTTCTGAATCTAAAGTGGCTAGCTAATTATATGAGTTACGAGAAATTTGTTACTGCTGCAAAAATGTTCACTGTTTACTAGAGCATCAACTTTGTTATCGTAATAACATTATAATGTTCCACAATTGTTACCATTATTATTTTTTTGTTAGTATTATCTTTTAAGTAGCTCCTCTTCCCCTCCTTTCCTTGATGCCAGTGTAAAATTATCAGTAACAAACCTTGCATATCTGCCTGCTTTCCCCCATACACCAAAGTGGCCCCCTCCTTGATGCCGATCTCACAATATTCAACAAGTTTCTCAAGGTGAGCTCGATGGTTTTGTGGACCATGACTCGTGGAACGATCGAGAGGATGACCAATCTTCATCTTCTTCACCTCTTCTACCTATTGAGCAATCCAAATAATGTTTTTCATGATAAAAATAATGCATAATAATAACTACATATGTAAAGTACAATTAACCAAAAAAATATACTAATCTGTATATTTTTTTTATAAGACTTTAAACAACTGCTCTCATTGTTCTTATGATGGCACTCTAATTATCAGCTCTGTTAAAATTACTGTTCTCTTAAACCATAATACACAAAGTACAATTAAAAAAAAACACTGATTATTCTTGATCTGACTTTAATAATAATAATAACAATAATAATAATAACAATAACAATAATAACAACAATAACAATAATAATAATAATAATACTGTAATAAGATTTGTATAGAGCTCCTATCCATTTTAAAGAAATGCTTAATGTGCTTAAAAAAATATAACCAGCGGAAAAAGAAAAATTAAGAAAACTATGCCAGTAAATATCTTTTTACAACTGCTTTCATCGTTCTTGTTCCCTTGTAAGTTAAAATAAAAACGACACAAAAGGATTTTAAAACTTACAACTCTTTTGATGTATTCATCATGGATGGTGTCTTCTATAAAAAGTCTTCCAGCAGCGATGCAATTCTCTCCCTTGTTGAAGAACACAGCACCACATCCTTGCAGATGTGTATAAGAGACAGGTACTATAGTCCACACAGCTTAATGTATGATGAAAAGTAGTGTATTAATTGACAATACTGCTGTCAGAACAATAAATTTTAATGGTAAAACCATTACAAATAATTTTTTTTCCAGAGAAGTAGGCTTACATTTGAGATGTAGGGCAACCACAAAGTTTACCTTGTAGGCAACTAAGAATAAAGTTGAATTCTCCTTACCTGATCCAGGCAGGATATTGATAACACCTGGTGGGAATCCAGCCTTAACCACCAGCTCAGAGAACTTGAGAGCAGTCAGAGGTGTGACTTGGGCTGGTTTTAAAACAACCGTGTTACCAGCAGCAATACAGGCAGCCATCTTCCAAGCTAACATCATCAATGGGTAGTTCCATGGTACCACAATGCCACATACTCTACAAATAAAGATACAGATTTGGAATATTAAATGAATATTATGTATGGTAATGTCATTTTCATATTATTTTTAAAATGTTATGGTTCATTGTACAGAATGTTATTGCGATTGTTGGAGACTTGTGTCTACAGTGCAATATTTCCCTATAGTTGCAGTAAGTAGAAGCAGCAAGGTTTAAAATTATAAGTCACTGTATATATGAATTTATGATATGCAAATATTTGACAAGGCTAATGAGTGCAGCCCTAGGCACTGGGGGAGGGGGTAGTCAGTTACCAAGGCCCAAATGACAGGTTCTGACAACTGCCATGGGACCCACATCTAATTTAGACATTTACAGTAGTCATCTAAAATGAATGACTTTCTCTTCAAATTCAATTTCTGTTTTACCCTTGTGGCCTTGGCCCCGCCTGCACCCTGCTAACAGCTATTGTGATTTGAAGTGGTGTAAAATTTGGTTAATTATGAAGTATTAAAAAGCAAGATTGTAATACATATGAAAAACACTATATATTAACATTTGATTCATTCAATAAGCCCGTAAATACTTGCGTCGACAATATTAACATCACATATGAGTATTGAGCCCGAGTCTTTTTGGCTTAGAATGTGTATTAGTAATTATTTAACGACTTCCTATTAAGTATCCTTAATCTGTCCATCTACTCCATCTACTCCTAATTAATCACATGGTAACTAAAGAATGATCAATTTGAAAGTAAATTAGGGTAACCTCAGAGTTTTTTAGCTTTAGGGTAGTTCAATATTCTTCTTCAGTTGTATTGGTAAGACTAACACAAAAGCATGTGGATTATATTCTGATACAAGGTGGTATCATCATGATTCTCATTTGGTTACATTATTATCAGAGGTTGACATTTGGGGCAGGGTAAATACTAGGGTGACCTGAAGTGGGCCTGGTTGGGCGTCCTCTAAAATGTTTTGGAAGTGGTCCAGGGCGAAGCCCTGAAAAATATAACAATTTAGGGCTTTCAGAGGCTTATTTAATAAATTTTTTATTGTAACTTATCATCCTGATTCTCATTTGGTTACATTATTATCAGAGGTTGACATTTGGGGCAGGGTAAACATTTGCATTACCCATTACACTGTGAAGACATCACAACTCCTCAGAAAAATTAGATTAATAAGAACAAAGGTCAATAATATGAAAATTCTTTCAACAAGCAACTAGCATAAAGGTAAAGGTAGAAGAATAACACATAACTTGCAGCCTAATTGTGCTAAATTGCATATGGGCATGGTCTGTGACAACTGCAGCAGCCGTAGAGAGGTGCTTAGTTCACATTATTCCACAAGGAAAGGGATAAAATGAACCATAGCATCAGGGTTTCCCCACCCCCACAATTTTTCAAAAGATGCAATGGGTTCTCTAAAATGCACACAAGCCAGATGCATACACTGGACACCCTGTTTTAAGTGCTTATCCAAGAAATCTTGGTTCTACCTACCAAACCCTGAGCGAGGAGCGGTTCAAACCAGTGCTGTAATTAGCAGCAACCTTGCCTTACTGTTCGACCGCTCAACTCGCCTTCTTTCAACAACAGTGTAACTTGTTTACATGGTATTCATCTAAAGAAAATACTTGCAAAGATGATGTGAACCTAAGGTTAATGAATGAAAAACACTTCATGCCAGATTGAGGTTCATTGACTGGTTTGTAAATGAATGTTTCAAACAGAAGTGGAATCTTTCAGTCAGTGACTGATGTTTAGGACCAAAGTTCAATTAATTCATAATGATTGATTGCATATAGCATGCCATATTTTTATTGGTTATAATAAACAAACAAAAAATCTAAATCAATCATTGATTATAATATATTTCAGGCACATATTCATCCATGAATACCTTGTGAAATGTAAACATCCTAGGCTATTTTATTTTTTTATTGAAGTCACTTGGATCTCATCTGAATACCATGCAAGTACCAAGATATCAGCAGAACTCGCTGCACGCAGAATTATCCAAAAAGAAATTAATTGCCTATTAGTGGCAATAACCTTTTATTAGACAACGCATGATTGATTTATTCAAAGGTTTATTAAGTTTCAAATAACAATCCATTTACGTGTCTGTGTTGATAGTTAATTAATATGTCAGTGGTCACGCTGAAGACAGAGTGTCGTATCACTCTTGTGATTAGCATGGACTGTAGGATTCATTCTGTTTCACATTAAAATAACTGCCTTTATTGAGGTAATAAACTAAAACAATAAACAGTTCCTTATTCACTTGCTTTGTATGTTCAAGTAGTTATCTTCCAATAGATTAAACTGCTTGATATGTAATATTGCAAGTTGACCAATTATTTAAATTAAAGGTAATTCTAAATTCCACCATAGGTTAAATCTTCAGAAGTTAAGACTATGCAATTATTAAAATTTATATTTATTTATATTATTATATCAATTTCCAACAACACTGAGGAAGCAACTGGAGAGAGTGTACCAATATCAAAGTGCCTCTCCAAACAGCATCCATCAAATAAACTATTAAGTGTTTGATTCAATATCAAAATTTTAATGCTAAAATGAGCGGTGAAGCAGAGGAAATATCCAGACATCAAAATTTCAGTTTTAGACTCTTTATAGCGAATATTAGAATAGAGAAAAGGCCTGAACGGCTGTCCCAAGGCAGAACAATGCAACTGCCATTATAGTTTTGCGCAGTTATGTTGTTTTACCTTCGACAACCATGAAATCTCTTTATTTCTGTCTCTTATACACATCTATATATATATATATATATATAAAATGTGGTTGACTTGAGTTTGAAGAAGCATGTTATATTCAACGATAACGTATATTTTTTTTCTCCACATTTTATTACTTTTGATGTTGATATATGATGATGTGAAACATTAATCACCCAATTTATATTTATTGCAATGTCCCAAAGCTTATTAAATTTTTTTTTATTGACGTAATATGTCTGTCTGTATTTTTTGTTGGATTTTCATCTAATAGTCAACATCGAGTCATAAGACAGACGTCATAGGTTTTAACCCTTTTGTCGACTTAATCATTGTTTATATGATGCAATAAAAAAAATACCACTCCAATAAATGTAGTTGTGAATCCCAATTCTTGAGGCAACATCAACAAATCTAAAGCTTACTGAGCATGTCATTAATGTGATCATTAATGTCTTACTTGCTTTAATACTTCCGCCAAGGAGGTTATGTATTCATCAATGTGTCTGTTAGAACGGATTATGCAAAACTATCAGCATAAATTTTAGTGGAAATGAAAATGACACGGTCACAAAAATCTCCTTGAAGCTTACTTACAGCAGTAGTGTTTTCAGACACAGGGCAGCGGACACTGCACTTGTCAGGGGTGATGCCAGGATTTGCCTAATGGGGGTCCTCGAAGAGAGCAAAGTGGGTGCGATTGGGCGTCACTCAAAATATTTCGAAAGCGGTCTAAGGGGTGAATCCCCCAGAAATTAAAAAAGTTTAGGGGTTTCAAAGGCTTATTTAATCAGTTTTAGAGTACTATTATACAGAAAATACATGTAACTTTTTTCTCCCCAACAAACTGTGGTTTTTCTCCCCAACAGGGGAGGGGGGAAGCCCTCTCGAGATGGGCCCCCCACTGGCGCCACCCCTGGCACTAGTTATCAATGGTTTTGTTTAATTCATTGACAGAAGATATTACCATAATTTCCAATGTGTTATTGGTTATAAATTGTATATACTGTTCCGATGGAGTTTCTTTTCTTTGGGAAAAACAATATTACGAATGATGTTTGTTCTACCTTTTCGCAAGTACATGGGAACGTACTGAGCATTCAGTACGATAACACATCAGGTTGGGCAAACATCACAACACAACAAACAAACTTTGCTCATTTTGTCCACACTTGTATATAAATGCTGGATTGGTGTTTGCTTAATCTGACAGTTGCTGAGTATGGTGCCATAGCAGTTACCATAAACTATTCCACTGACAAATTCAGCCAGTGAAATTCAAAAGTGGTCTACCTTTATACCAACCAAAATACTATGCGTCTGAATACACCCTAAAAGTATCAGCTAATAATACAATATACATGGTACAACTTGACCATGTATATATAAAGTTACCAGTTATTCACACAAAGCATTAACTGCAGTAGATGCAGAAAGATAACTTACCCTAAAGGTTCTCTCTTCGTGTACGTCAGGTTGCGATTTGGTCGGGCATGGTTAATTGGTATTGTCGAACCCTACATGAGAAAAAAATAGATATTCTTAAAAAATAAAAACTGTACAATTAATGATTTAGGTCTGTGTCCATATTACCCAATAGCAAGTTAAAATAATCAGTTAAATAGGATTACAGTAATAAGACATTTTAAACAAAGCTAATCATTCTTTGGGAGTAGGGAAGGGAGGGGGGGTCTGACCTGTATTTTGTCACACCATCCTGCAAAATATCTGAAGGTGTCAATAGACATTCCAACATGTGTCTTGATGGCCAGTGTGTAGACTGCTCCTGAATCTATGCTTTCTAATGTTGCTAACTCTGCTTTGTGCTCCTCCATTAAATCAGCTAACCTGCAATGAAAGAACAAAAATTTACTTTCAATTTATAATTCATTCTCTTATTCCAAAATAAAGTGCCTAGGTCTATTTAGCACTTTGTAAATTTAAACGTTCTGTCTGAAAAGGTATTGTGGCAATGAAGCCGGTGTGTGCGTTATTTATGCATTGAAACAAACAAGATTAATGTTAGAATCAATTGAGCACGATGGTATTACATTTTTTTCACTTCCTTTCGACAGTGGGTTGTCAAAAGTAAACCTCCCATTTTTCATCGCCATTATGAAAACTATTGTTTAACTTAATTAGTCAACCAGCATTCGACAAAGAATCAACACAGGAACATTTACACAATATTATTTATTTTATTTTTTGTATACTTTGAGGAAGGTGGCATAAAACAGAAATAGATGACAGTCATCAGCCCTTCGACACTAAAGAAAGGTTAAATTTATTGCTCTCGGAACAACAACATTTACACAGCAACAGCTGTAAGGTTTGATCGGGTGCCATATTGACAAAAACTTTTTAAAAAATTGAACCCTTTGTGCTTTTTACCGCCAATATTACGCCATTCGATAGGACCCTTTCGGACAGAAAAGCGTTAGATTACCACAACATTAACCAGACTGGTTAACAACGGCGGTTAGTTGCTCTTTATTACAATTCAATTAAAATCCATTTTAAGCCAATTTCCATAGCATAGTAAATTGTTTTTAAAATGTTTGGATAATACCCTTGCCAGCAACGGCAAGCTCCTAACTATATATTTGTTGATAAACAAGTTAAAAGAAATAATACACAATGGTTACATTGATGTCATTACCTGTACATAAGCTTTCCCCTTTCTCTGGCACTCATCTTGCCCCATTCACCGACCTCAAATGCTTCCTAAAAAGGTTTGACAGTAAAGTTTACATATTATACTACAGAAACACATCATTTTATAACATATTCAGTTATAAGCAAAATGTGTATATAATGTTGTTGATAAAGACTTTCAATGTGGGTTTCACTCTGTTTAATCTTATCTCATGGGCTAGCCTTGTATTTAACATATAAAGAATTTTATTATCATTTTATGCACTATTAGTTTCAGAATTCACAATAAATTAATAAATGCATTTTACATTTTGAACGAATTTTGTGAAAAATAGTAATGGAGACATATGGTTTTTATTTCAGAATACAATGCATTCCTCAAGAATACAAGATATTGTGTTATGTTACAATAGACAGAAGGGTAGTCACAAGATGAAATGTTGCTAAACAGTGGAATTGTAGGCCAAATACTCTATAACACTAAAACCACTTGTAAAAATACACTTACGACATTCAATATATAAAGGTCAGTATAGCAAACCCTCACACTGTAGTTGATAAGTTCCATGTTAAAAAGGATAGAAGGATAGACACAAGATGAGATGTTGCTAAACAATGGCATTTGAGGCCACTCTATAACACTTAAACCACTTTAAATAAACTTAAGATATTCAATGTATGAAGGCCAGTATAGCAAACCTCACATTGTAGTTGATAAAGTTCTATGTTAAAATGGACAGAAGGGAAGTCACAAGATGAAATGTTCCTAAACAATGGAATTGAAGGCCAAATACTCTATTACACTAAAACCACTTGTTGAAAAAATACACTTAAGACATTCAATATATGAAGGCCAGTAAAGCAAACCTAGATATTGGAGTTGATAAAGTTCCATGTTACAATCGACAGAAGGTAGTGACAAGAAGAGATGTGTCTACAATAACAACACCACTTGTTTAAAAAAATACAGACAAGGTACCTTTGCAGCGGCCACTGCTCTGTCGCAATCAGCTGGACTTGCTTTAGCCACCTTACAGATCACAGACTCATCAGCTGGATTCACTGTTTCAAAAGTGACACCACTCTCAGAATCAACAAACTCATTGTTGATAAATAATTGATTTGGAAACTTTAAATGCATATTGTTAACATCCATTTCAACCTAAAAAACATAATTGTATAATGCATGTTCAAATGACATATTGCAGACAGTGTAATTAATGATACAAATGTAAATTAATGATATATTTTAGTTTTGATTGATTGTATATAATTGTGTTATCAATTTGTTCTTTGGCTGTGGATAACATAGTAAATGATAGAAAAGTAAAATGAAGTATGGAAGGCAGATAATGACAAAATATCTGTTGAACCGTAACGGAATGCACGACTAACACTAATAATAGGTAGCGTTACTTGTTGTTGACACCAATAATAGGTAGCGTTCTTAGTCGTTATAAAAATAGCAGGAGTGTAGGCTTGTTTCGGCCTAGGGGCGCAAAAATCTGCAACCCCTCCCTCCATCCATCCTCCATGAATAGTGTTAAGTAACTTACAGCATCATAGGTGAATTCCTTGACATCTAACCCTCTGTGTTTTCTAACCATCATCTGAATGAAGTCTTCTAACGTTGTTGCCATGTATACATCCTCATTCTGTATTTCAACATCGCACTTCTCCTTCACCTCCTCAACAAGTCTGTAAAAAAACAAAACACCTGTGTGTTAGTGATTTTGACATCTGTTTCAAATTTAAACATAATAATACCACATTGTCCACCAAAGAGACAGATTGGCAAATATCAAATCAAAAAGTGTTTTCTTGGCGTCAGAACATAAATGAGTGATAAGGTTTCAAGACTTTCAATACTTACGATTGTAAAAAGTTTATGTAAATCAATGACATTATTCTTTATTTATTCCGATAATTTATTAAACCTAATCATGTAGTTGCCGTCATCCATTCAAGCTATAAAGAACACTGAATTACCTGGCGACATCCATTGAGCCTGCACCCATCTTGAAAAAATCAGTATCATTCTGAATATCAGATTGCGAGAGAATGCCAATCCACATATCCTATGAAAAGAAATAAGAACCTAAATAGTTAAAGCTGGTGAGTCTAATAACAATACATTCAATTGTGTCTGTCCACTGACATGATCAACAATGTTCTATAATTTACCTTTAGGTATTGCATTTGAAGAAAGGATGTATATGATAATTTTGCAGATTGGAATTGTTTTAGTCTGAGAAACACAGGTCTCCAACATAAGATTTGAACTCAGGACCATAAGGTTGGAGGTTATGGATTAAGGATGTATTCAAGCACCTGTAACATATTTTGAGGTTGGTGCCACTCTTAAAAGTCATTTTGTGATTTCTACGACATATTAAAAATTGTTTTCCTCCGGAGCCTCACTTTAAGTAAGAATATACATATTTATATATGTACTTGAAGCATTATACGGTTGGTGAGTAAGAAAGCAACAGTAAAATTCCCTGGGAAAGAAGAGTAGGTTCCACCTTATGCATAAAATCTGTAATGTATATATTGGGGTAAAAATACACACAAAAACTTAAATTTTATTGCATATAATTCTTATTATGTTAAATAATACCTCTAAAATATTATTCTACAATAATACTGTGCATTATTAAATTTCAAGCAGGTTTATGTTTAGGTATTTAAAATACTTGGAATCTTGCATATTTAAAAACTTGTAAATAAAAGGTGTAGGTATGTGTATTTTTGCAGATATGCCTATGACAACTTAAGTAGTTGATACAATTGAATACAATGAATGCCATATGGTAGGAATACCATATGGCAAGATAGACATATGGCAAAGTAAAGAAATTTATAGCAAACATCAGTAGAAAATAGAACTGGATGATGGTGATTAGGATAGTACATATTGTCACTGCGACACTGTATTCATTAGCATTTTGTAAACACTATACCTTCACTTTGCTTGCCATTTGTTGCTCTTCGTCAGTGAGTTCAAGTTTTTCAAGTTCTTGGGGTGCCTGGCCGTACATCTCTGCTTTGATCATCCTGCCATCCCCAAGAATCAGTGTCTTCACACTCAGCTAACAAATAAAAAACATCTTATTAATAAAATAATCAATATAAATAATTAAAATAACTAATATAAATCAATATATTGGGTATAACTTTAAATAGTACAAATCAATTAAAAAAATCATATCAATGTTTATGTTTATTATAAATTATAAATATTATAATTATTATCTTGTGTATGGCAATACATTTTGAACTTGCCACCCAAAAAAGTGGTTTTGTTACAGTTTTCCAAATACCATTCGGTTTAATTCATATCTCGGCCAAACAGAAAGGTATTTTCATGAAATTGGTCCCTTTTCCCCCAGTTTTTAAATATTAAAAAATCTGTATCTCATTCACCGTTCCTCAGTTTTTTGTCAAACAACTTTTTTCTGAAAAAATCAGTTCAACAACATATCAAAAATGTTTTTTTCCTCCGGAGCCTGATTTTTTTTTATAGCTAAATAAAGGCACTGTCAGACCTGTAAATATTAGTTCTTTAGCATTTGAAATAGCGACAATATGCTTGATAGAATTCAGAACAGTACGGGATGGTTGAGGGGAGGGAGGATGGGGGAGGGGGAGACACACAATGTCTATGGGAAGAAAATGTTTATCGCATTAAACTTGCACAACTTTGCCTCTGTAGGACTACAGACTTGATTTTGGTCTTATTTTATAGCTAAATAATACAGCTTTAATTTACAAACGGATTAGAAAATTTTAAATATAAATCATTTAAATAATTTTAAAATAAACTATAAATTAACTTGGGTACCATATTTTGAATTAACAAAACTTGAATTGTTATATATAATCACCATGCCTTCAATTAAATATATTTTATATAATAATTCACCATACAAGAAGGTTGGTCTATGCTAGCTTTTGCTGAATCTTCCCCAGAAAAGTCTACTGGGCTTGGCAGTATAGAACCAAGTCACACAGATGAGTTGTACAATGATAGGCCTATAAATCAGATTCTGAGGAGATATGGCTAGTACTGTTCTTTGCAAAGACTCTGTGGTAGCCATCAGACCAGGTGCAGATTCATTTTATGATTTCCTACTTTTTCATGTTGTCTCAGAAGGTGAATATAGTCACAAGCATCCAAAAGTAACTAATATGTATATGAAATTAAGACTGAACTCAAATGCACATTTTACCTGCCCATCTATAGTGGTCCAGGCTCCCGGTAGCTTGTCATTGCCACGGATGAAGTTATGAAGCACTTCCACTGGCTGGTCCCAATTAATCTGCACCGAACAAATATAACTTATTTAATGCTGTATCACTACATTTGTTTTTTCCTACTTAAAAAGAATACAACAGGCTATAAAATTGAACATGGGTTTCATCCGAAAATATATGTTGTTCATTCCTGAAGGAAAGAATTGAAACTGTCAAAACCTTTTATTTGTAAACCCATGGAACTGTTAACATTCTTAACTACTAAGCTATAGCTGTTCTCAACTTACTTGAGCAAGTTCTTTCTTCCTCCATAGTTTGTCATATGTAGCACCCTCTTCTGGTTGAACGATTCTTGGCGCTTTATTCTCTGATATTAAGTCTACAGCTTCACCCTATAAAAGGCAATTTTAAAATATATCTCTTCATTGTTCTTTTGCATCATTTTATCATGAAATATACAAAAAAAAAAAAAAACCAATGCCAATCTGAAATGTTAAAATGTAATATTTTAAATATATCTAAATTCCTTGTCTTTCTGATGCGATACTGTAGCATTGCTTGTTTCACATTCAAAAGTTCAAATTTTAATATTATTTTAACCAACAATATTATATGAAGGCGCCTTAAAAGCAGGGATGAGTTAAATCAGCCCGGAAGCACAAAATGTTGGTAGTGTTGTAAATAAAAAATGATGTCATACTGATGAAATCACCAATTTAAAAGAATAAAATGTTCCATTTCTTTTGTGTTCCCAAAAAAATGTTTTACTCATTCCATGTTTTCAGTCATAAATTTTACCAAATTCACATCATTATAAGTATGTATTGGGCCACATTTTAAATATTAAGAACTGGTATATGTGTTATTTAATTATGGGTTTATTTTGACAGGATAAAGAATGGACCTTACCATTGCTTTGATTCCCTCAGGGTATAGAAACCTATTATACAAGCTGTCTACAGTATCATTAGGATCTACATCAACCTCCTTCTGTAGTAAGATTGGGCCGGTATCCAGGCCATCATCAGCCCAGAACACTGTGAAACCTGCTTTCTTGTCCCCACACATCAATGTCCTTCATGAAATATAAAATAAAGTGCATTTTTGAAAGCATGTGGCACTTGTTTTTGACATTGGAAATTGGAATGTAATAATTATGTACAACAATTAATGTTAGAAAAATACATAAAAGATACAAAGAGAAAGTGAAGAAACAGGGACTGAGTTAAACACCTACCAATTGATTGCAGATGCTCCCCTATGCCTAGGGAGTAGGGATGGATGATAGATAATCGACCCATTTTTAGGAAAATCAATCACATCCATCGGAATAAATTGGGAACAGAATGGCATCACATTTATTTCTGCTCCGCAGCTTTTATACTCATTCACAACCTCAGTGATTGGCTGACCTTTAACCCGCCAGCGAGGATATTTGAAAACTTTGACTCCATCTTGCTCAGCAGATATTGCTATAATGACAAAAAGCAAATTGGATTTATGGGAGATAAAAAATATGTATAAGACTAACAAGAAAACACAAGGTAGGGTTTAGAGTCAGTTAAAATTTTGGGCTTGCTGCTAATAAAAGAACACAAGCTGGGCTAAGAGCAGCTAAAGTGGTAGGCATGTAAGCAGCAGAACATAAAGTTATGTAGGGCTGAGAGTGTTTAAAATGATGGGCTTGTTAGCAGCAGAACACAACATAGGGCCACAAGCAATGTTACTGTAGTTCTCTGGGCTTCTAGAAGTGGTTGGCGCATCGGTTGTGGTTTGGACTCCCAACCTCGAGGTCGGGGGTTCTAAACTCTCGCTGTGCAAGTCGCTTGTGTCCTTGGGCAAGGCACTTTATCTACGGTTGTCTCTCTCCACCCAGGAGTACAAGTGGGTACCTGGTAGGTTCAAACACAGCCTGCACTGAATACAACTGCAACAATATGGAATTCCTCTATGGGGCTTGAGTGTGTGTTCCATATGTGCTTGATCCAGTGATCCGGGGGGTAATAATGTTCAAGCGCTTCGAGGTTGTGTCAATGGGAGGCGCTATATAAATCCAGAATTATTATTATTATTAAGAGCAGAACATATTTGTTAAAATGCTGGGCTTGCTAGGAGCAGAACACAAGGAATGGCCATAAGCATTTACTGTAAATTTGGGCTAGTTGGGAGCAGAACATAAGGTACGGTACTCAGTACAGTTAAAGAGAAATGCAGGGCTTGATAAAAGCAGGAAACAAGGTAGTGCTAAGAGCAATATGTTAGTACAGTAACTGCTTACCCAAAGGATCTGCCTTCCCCTTTACATCAGGAACTGTAAACACACCCACAACCTCATGCCCCTTGCTTCTAAGCAACTTATAGACTTCTTCACCAAACTGACTTTGTCCAATAATAGCTACCCTCATCTGAGCCATCATGCACTGATTGAAAAAAGAATTTAAAACACAACGACTTATGTAACGTAAAGAACTGTCCATTAAACATCATAAAGGTTGAACTTTAAGTACTAATATTCAAATAGGCAATGAAACCTCACACTAATATATTAAATATGATTTAACAATAACGTGCTAGGTAAATCTGCTGGTACAGTAAGTGTAGCATTATATTTGAGTGTCAAACAGTTGTTCAATACAAGGTGTTTTTCAAGAACATCTGTAAAATTGAAAGAGAAGTGATTATTCATTCATTGAAGAACATTTATTTCCACTTAGTAACGTTAGGCCTACAAATTGTAGCCTCATCTTAGAGGCAGCAGGGATGTCCAATAAATAAACAAAAAAAAACTTAATATTCTATTATTAAAGGTGGATTGTTCCCTGGAACAAACAACAATCACCAAAACCAATTTGAAATTAACATACTCATTTTGAAATCACATAAGAATGATCACCTGGAACATAGAAATTAGTGGATATTTTATTAAAATGTTTTAAACCCATAATTCTAATGTGCAAAATGGTAAAAATAATAGAAATTTATCCACTAACTGGAAGACATTTCAGGGTATAACAGTTTATCAATTCTCTAATTTCTATGACAAAGTTGGTCATTTTTATGTTCCTTCAAAATTAGCAATATAATTTTATAATTGATTTTAATATTGGGGCTTTCAGGGGACAATAAAATATTAATTACTGATTTGGTTTTTGGATGCCAGGGAAAAAGACAGTAGGAAAGAATCTCGAATAGTTTCATCTGGTTTCTGTGATGTATGAACATTCAGTCATCATTTGATGACTGAATGCCATAAACAAAAAGACAAATACGAGAGGCTATTTAGATAAGAAAACATGATAACATGAACAGAGAAGAAGGTGCATATAAACTACAGTATCTAATATTTACAACCAACCAATCAGTCCTGAAACTACTGGTAGAGGGCGTTTTACTACATCGGGAAACGTCAACAACTAGCAAACCAGTCACTGTCTGAGGAAGATCTGTTGATAACAGATCGAAATGCCACAAACAGTACGTACATTTAATGGTTCACTTACAACACTTATGCTCAGTAGGAAAGAAGTTAACAGTTTCAAAAATAAACAAAATTTCATATTTCTATCTGGTAGCTATGTTTTGCTCATACGACTATGGCAATCCTATGCTTTCCATGTAGCTATTTAAATTCTAGGCTGCAGTAGTAGTAGCAGTAGTGTTGGTAGGACAAGGACTACCCTAGTATAGGTGGTAATATAGTGACCCTAACCATGTGATTGTGAGTGACAAATTGCTGTTTGCATGCCAACGAATTAAGCAGTTAATTGATACTCGCCAACAATAACATATGGTCAATTTATTTATATATTTATTACATATTCTGGCACAACAAATCAGAAAATGGCCAGAGGGGTGCCAAGAGGACACCATGGGCTGAGAGCCCAACACAAGGTGTGGGTATCCTCTAAACCCCCTGACCAAACGAACAAACAATAACTAAAAAAACAGCACAAACAAAGGCAAAGATGACACATCAGAATAAAATAGCCAATCAATAAAAAGATTGATAAAATAGATAAAAAAAAAAGTACCAAACAAAAGTTTAAAAAATGGGTTTACAGGATTTCATTTTGCAAACTGTACGGTTAAAATCGGAGTTAAAATACCAAAAGAACAAGGAATGATTAAAAACTAGCCTACAAATGTTTAAAATACGGTTTGAAATTAGAATAATTACAAAATCGGAAAATAAAAAATACTCAACAAGATGCTTCACTCAAGGACTTTGAACGTCCTTGCTTACATCCATGATTACATAATTAAGTGGCAGTCCTACTCTAGATTTGTTGCAGGCAAGGCCTTCTTAACTCCACCGAACGAGTTCGCCTACCCTAGAGAAGACCAATTGTTTGTCGTCCACAAACAACCCGACTGGGCCTAGGTAGGACTATACTTATTTTATTTTTAGTGGCGGGACGAGCAAGCAATTATTATAATAATGTACTCATTCAACATCAAGTTATAATAATATAACCTCACCTGTTTACAACAAAATGGTGTTTTAAATGAAAAGAAGTAATCACTTTCAGAAAAAAACGCGAGTACGTTTTGCAAAAGACTGAATGAAGTCTGGAGCAGTTTGTTCACACAAACACACAACCTTTCCATCCATCCAGGGTAGACGTAACAACAATATGCAAATATCAGCAACCTTTGACACCACCACGCCCACGACTCTCCTTCCTTTGGGTCCAATGGGAACATTCGTTGCTAGCACGTTGGCCATGGCTAGTTCGTCAAAAATATTTCCGTGAAATATGCTACGTTTCATCAGGGAGTTGTTATAGTGACAACTACTCCCTGGTTTCATATTAAATGTTACTTTACAATACCTCTGCTTCAAATACAATAAAACGTTCACAAACCCATTTAGTATTAATTCTAATTATTACTACCTACTCATTAACTTACCCATTATATTACAGAACAGTAAATGCATTCCTTTGGTGGCTGATAAGACTAAACTAGGGCTAGGCTAGACAGGGCGGCCAAAACGAGTTTGGTGTGGTTTGATGATAATCGATGCGGTCTGTTTGGACTTTTTGGTTAATCTATTCAGGTTTTAAGTGTTTGTGTTTGCATTAGAGTATAAATGTTAATGTATTTTGATAGTTCGAAAATAATAATTTAACTCTCTCCCATGACACTGTTCATCAGTTTGCCTCAATAGGCAACTCCCTGCCTCAAGTAGTTTCACTTTGACGTCATGACTCATGAAAAGGTACATGACAACGTCTTCAAATTTTAATTTAAGGGGGAAAAAAAGTCCACTTCCAGAAAGAAAATTTAAATATTCTAAATATTGGAATTCAATTTCTTGAATGATATTCTTTTCTTTTTTGCATTAACATTTATGGTAATTGTTTATTGTATTGATGTTTGGTAGTTTGATATAGTAATTGAATCGATACTGTTACTACTCCATTCACCATAACACGAACATGTCTGAGGGTACCGTTTAAAACTCAGCGATGCGTGCAATTTGGCTCAGGAAGTGCCACGTGTCTTCCATATTAGGAACATGCCTGTTGCATCATTCACGAACTGACTCCATATTTGGTAGGAATGAATATAATATCAAGTTTAAACCACAGAACTGCCTATCTTACTGTAGATCACATTTTTTGTAAGACCATATATTACTGGTGTGATATGACAGATATAACTTTCATGATATACTGTATAATGGTTTATTCCAGCTTTAAATTTACTGTGTAAAGAATCTTTGTAGCCTTAATCTGGAGAAAAAAAATCAGGGGAAAATGCTGAAAACCCTGAGCTGAAAAATCAAAACTACATGGAAAATTATGTTATTATATTACTTTATCATCCTCCTTCAAACAAACCTTGTCAATCTTACTAATTTACTGCCATGTTAATACATGTACTGATAACATTATTTTATTTATACATTTTAAATTTAGATCTTCATAAATGGCAAGTCTTCACTTCAGCTACGTCATTAAAAATCTAAAGTGTGTTAATTATCCATTTACAGTATGTCCTGTCTCTTATACACATCTAGATGTGTATAAGAGACAGGACCAATTGTTTGTCGTCCACAAACAACCCGACTGGGCCTAGGTAGGAC